CCGTCACCCACGGTTGCCCACCACACACCCAACACTCCCGACAGTTTCTTATGGCTCCTCTGTGCCTACGATTCGTTCCGTTGGCTGCTTCAATCTCTTTTATTGTGAAATTGCGTTAATCTGGCCGTGGGTTTTCCATTTTACTCACATCACCCTTTGCTCTGCTTCTGCTGCAATGACCCACCATTTTATTCTTATGATTAACTTTTTACCTTATCATGTTTGCTGTTCCTTCATCTCTTAGGATCTGCCAATTTTTTATATATCTTTATTGATAATCATTATTGTTATCCAATCTTAACCAATTTTATATTTCTATGCATGTCCGCGTTAGCAGTTTCCCTTTTGCTGCACATTTTATTGTCCAATTGACATACATTTTACATTTCAAAAAATTTCCGTATTCCTTACGTTGATGAGCTTTTTGATTACTTAGTTCGTTTTATATACACGAATGCTTCTCTTTTTATATATTAACATGAACGACCGTAATTACAACCACCCTTCTTTTATCAACAATGTTCTTCATAACTGAAACAGAAAAATAATCTTTTTTGTCCTGTTTGGACTTTCACTTTTGTATGTGCGTCCGTTTTGTGCATGCCTTAAAGACGTTTCGTCTCGTCGTACAGGGAATACCGGACTGGATTTCGCATTTGGAAGTCATTGCCTAATCAGGCACATTGCTCTTTTTTGCGTGTCACACTAATAACACTTAGACTCAGGTCAAATTTTCATCGATACCAAACGTCTTGCTAAAGTAAAAAACTTTTCCTCCAGTTCGTAAAGATTTCATTATAAAATAAATATACTATATTTGCCCACAATTTTTTTCGTCGAGGTTCTCTAATAAAATTTCGGATAAAAGTTTTGCCATGCTACATCAACGACTAAGTTTGAAACTGTGCTACATCAACTGACAGTTTCAATTACAATCTCGGACCGTCAAGCTCTCGCTAGCGATATATTTAACACTTCACGATGTTTCACTCCCAGCTACATTTCAGATCTTATTCACCCTAAATTCATAGTGCACACTCAATATAAGCAGGATTTACGCTTAGAATTCTCCAAAAACTAAGATCTATTTGCCTGCATCGAGTTTTCTAGCGGATTTTCTTATTTGCAGGAATTACTTCACACGTGATAGGTTGTACCTATTGTAAATACCGGGAGACTTTTTCAGAGTATTTTACTCTGTACGAGCTAACACTCACATACTAGCTTAATCCCTTATCCTGAGAGACGTCTATTGTGTTCTGCTCTGTACCAGCCAGTTTGCTCAATAACTAGCTCAAAAAGATAACTAGCCCAAGAAGCGAACTATAGTTCAAGTAATCAACTAGCTCAAGAAGCGAACTAGCTCAAATAGTCAACTAGCTCAAGTAGTCAACTAGCTCAAAAAGTCAACCTAACTGCCAGCTTGTAACAAACGTAAATCTCATTTACACTTAACGCAGGATATTTCCTGATTTCTCTCGTCATTTGCCATCAGTTAGCTATTCTTTAGAAATTTTACCTTTAAACGTGCTTATATATTTTTTACTGTAAATACTAATCAGTTTGCACATTACTATTCTGTACATTTAATTCACTTTTTGGGATATTGTTGAATTCAATATTACCACTAACTTATGTTCAAATAACTCCTCGCAGTTTTGTCTGCAGGAATTTGAAAGACGATTTGCTTGCGTGCATTTCCCTATCACTTATCAAAACATACAGAGCATAATCTTTATTCTGTTGTCGAGACCCTGATCATACAAATAGAGTATATAGGGACTGTATAATCCAATCATTGAGTAATATTATCTACATAGGCTCTCGTAAATTGCTTTCAATATATACTTTTTTATTTGATTTGCTTTGTTTTGCTGAAAAAATATTCCATCTTGGTTACGTTTACTCGAGCTCCATTGAACACATTTTTCCTTAGTTGCTTCGTAATTTTATTTCTAATTAAATGAAATATAAAGCTGGTTAAGATTGCCAGTTTGCCTCATTCGAGTGGAATGAAGGATGACTCTTTAATATTTTACTCATCATTTTATGAAGTGACACTCTGTTCTTGTTAATAGTTATATACTGATGAAATTACCGTAGGCAACTAGGTTTAATTATTAATCACTGAAGACGACTCTTACTTTAACGGCACAAGTAGATATTTGAAATGAAAAAAATTTGATACTGTATTAATTCAATTAAAACTTAGTTTTTCCCCTTATGTCGCCGATTTAAATATATGGTCCATTCAGAGCAGAATGCGACGGTTTTGAGAACTACTCGTATTACCATCTATACACCATCTCATGTAAGGCATGTAGACTATAAAAGTAGTAATAATTTGACACGTGTCTGTAAATGATCGAGATAGAGTCATATCATATCTAAAAATTTTGTTTTTCTATTGAATCACTTTCCGGCATTCATTCTAGAATGACGAAGGTTATTATTTAAGTCTTCCTTACTACATTCCAAAGCCGCTTTGCTCATCAAAGACCCATTTTATTTCATTTATCAAGCTTCGAGCGTCTAATAATCTTGCTGTAATTATGATAAACCTTGAGTGGAAACATGAAAAACATTCCAATATTAGTTTGCGTGCGAACAGTGGCTCAATTTATTGCCTATTCAGGATTGTTTCAATTGATCATGTGTAAAAAGGCACGTAACTCCATTTTAAATCTCCATAGATCATCATTTGATAATTCAAAATTCAATGAAAGAAGTTACCCCAATTGCGAGAACTATTAAACTTCCCTGCGTTCAAGCCTGAATGCCCCATTTTAAATTCCGATTTATAACATGCATCATATCCCATCCCCGCTGCTTTTTCTTTCCATTTTCCATTAATACACAACCAACACGATTGCCTTCCCATCCATTCGAAATCTCCACGTTCCGGTCACACTGCCCCCACAGCCACGGGCGTCCTCTACCATATATACCATCTCTCCAGATATACGCTTGGCAATCGAGACAATTACTCTGTGTACTCCCCTTGTTTATTATACGGGTCTTTTTTCTGCAGTCCTAATTAATTAATAATTTACCGGATAATCCTAGATGAGCTTCAAGATTTCTGGCTCAGTATCGTCCAACTCAAAAATTATCTGAAGTTTACACACGAGCCTTGCAAATTTTTCATGAATGAAAATTTTAGTAATTAAGTCCATTGAAAAACGAGATTGATAAAACGAACATTGTTTGTATTCATCCACGATTCTACACAAGATATCCGTGTAAAAGAAACAATTTCACTTCCCATATTATCAGCTGGTCATCTTTCGACAATTCACACCCGCCCACTACAGGTCCAATACCCGCTTTTGATGGATGAACTCGATAAAACTGTATAAAATATATTTTTTCTATAGATCTGAGCAGTGTTGACCATTTACCTCCTCGCGTTAAGTCTAAACTTGCAGGAACCGTTGCAAGCGCCGTTACATTGCTAGTATCAACGCGGTCCGTTAACAAAAATGCATCTCAAGATTTTAGCAGGAGTCCGACCACCTGAGCGTTTGGTGGAATCTTCATATTTTCTGCATGCTATCCATCAGAATTGTCAATGCCATTTTTATCTCCCTTATTGCAGCTCTAGAACTATAACAAAAGTTCAATCACACTGCTACACTCTATGATGTCTTGCCGTCGGCCCTGTATACGGTAAGTTTGATCGAATAAATTCACACTGGAAACTGAAATGATGGCTCAGCTTCAATCACGCAGCCAGAAATTTGCCGGTAAGAGTTTTTTTCATTCAGCGTGCATTACATGAGCAGAATAGTTATTACCATGAAATGTAACAATTTCGAACATCTGATGATTTTGCAAATCTGCCAATTGTCTGCGGTCGTGATAATATGAATAGTTTTATTTTTCTTGAAATGTCTCGAGACTAGCTATGACATTCTTCATTCAAAGCTTTGCCATACATAAAAATCTAAGGATCTGTGTGATGCACATCACTCCAACAAAAAGTGAGTACATTAACTGCTCGGTTCTGCTGCACCGTCAATGAATATTTTTGCATATTGTGCCCACTTTTTGCATGCTTCTGCTCGCTACAGATTTGACTGCACTTGTTTAACTACCAATCAATTTATTGCATTTGCATTCTTACGAATTTTGTCTTGTTCGTGCACGCTCTTTTACAATTTTCGCATGATATTTGAAGAATTTCAAAGTTATTTTCTAAGCTAAATTTTGGCACCATCAGGTGCATGAGATAGAATTGTTAGCCTACTACATAAATCAGAATCGGTAATTATCAGCCTATTACAAAAATTAAAGTAAGCATTTGTTAGCCTAGTAAAACGTGAACCAGAATAGGTTGTTGTTTGCCTATCGTACAAATAAACAAATCAGAGTAGGCAATTGAGTGCCACTCTATTGGTTTGAAATTTTATCCGAAAAATAATAATACCATCACGTCGCAAAATACTTTAGGAACTTCACATAGGAAGCAATTCTGCAGCAGCAAAGTTTAGATCCTCAAAACTTAACTAAGTTACTTATTATGGTGTGATATTTTTCACTTATGTTGATTTGATCGTTGACGTGAATGAAACCAGCATTAAGTCGATGGTACGTGAGGTAATGTGAGTTCCTTTAGTTCGATACCGATTTTCATTTTCCGAAATAAGTTTTCGTATTTATGCCGCAGAGTATTTATTTAAGAGACAGCTGGCAGAAAATTTAAAAGTATTATTTCAATGAAAATCCCATTAAAATATACGGCGATGTTCGGACATTTCCTTGCCTTTGGTCAGACAATTCGGTTAACATATAATCCAAACCTCTTAACAAAATCTTATTACCTGTCATAGAGAAAGCACTGTAACTGTAATTTAACATTTCATAATAAATATTTGGTTCTGGTTCTGAGTGTCTAGAAGGTTTTTTTTACGCTAGGCAGTTAGTCACACTCCTATGATAGGCTGCGCTGAAGATGCTGCAATTGACCAGAGGTTGGCAGGCTGTGAATATACTTGCAGACGCGCGTCGGTGATCCGCGGTCGCGTGGTGACGCGTGCCGGTCGAGGCGTGATCGGAGTGCGCGTGTCGACCAGCGACAAGAACGTCGGTACGACCACGTCCCGCCGCGACGGTTGGTTCGACCTCATGGTGAACGGCGGTGGCGCTGTCACGCTGCTGCTGGGACGGCCTGTCTTCCAGCCCAAGGAGGTGATTCTTCACTGTCCATTATTGTTTTTAGTACTAATAAAGTTAACAGTGATATTTGAGATCAGTGCCGAGATCCGTAACACATGCTTGAAAGAGTTTTCTTCACTGTCCATTATTGTTTTTAGTATTGATAAAGTTAACAGTGATATTTTTTACACGTTTATGAGATCATTGCCGAGGTCCGTAACACATGCATGAAAGAATTTACTGCGCAATCAGTTGGAGAGTCTGCATTCCGTGATAAAAGCTCAGTATGTGATTGCAAGTGTGGTTACCGGCTTGTTGCGGTATATGTTGCAAACGCTTAGGAAACTTCCATCACTGATGTTAATTTTTGTTGAAATTATTACGTGTCGGTTTACTTTTGACTTGGGCTTGAATTAATTGAAATATTTAATGATATATTAAATGAATTGATTACAAACGTTTCATCAGGAAATTAATTTTGATCAGAGGTAATTCAGTATTATCTTGAAGGCGCGTTTCATGTAAATAAAGTAAGTTGAATGTCAGGAGCTTTTACCGTAGACTTTACAGTGTGAAACGGTAGTATTATTACTAGTATAGTAATAAATACTTTGCGTATTGTTATACTTTCAGAAACGCCAATTACTTCATACGGTCAAAAATTTTCAGTCATATAATTTAAATTGTCTCTATTAACGGATTTAAATAACTTTGCCGAAAATCATTAGAAAACGCTCTTAAAATCTGCAATCTGATTTCTATTAAATGTAATTTGTATCACTATATCTGTCAATAGATTTTAATAAAAACGTTTTACTGTTTATTACGCCTCATTGTATTTGTTATTTGCTATTAAGATTTGTCTTGTTCTTCAGATTCGAGTGATGGTGCCTTGGAACGAAGTGGTAGTCCTCGATGACATCGTCATGCATGTGAGCGCAGCGCAAGAAAACACAGCAATGTCTCCGGAACGCAATTTTGCCAACAATTTAGCAGGCAACCACAAACCTTGTCCCGAACATGACTACGACTTGTTGAGGCCTGTTGTGATGGTCACGTCACTTCTGGGGGTCAAAGGCGATTGTCCTGACGACGACGCAGTCCTCGTTGAGACTCAAGCTCTTCAAGAGTCTGTCAAGATCCCCGGCACTGACCTCTACTTAATCTATCATTCCTCGCGGTGAGCATGCAAAATAAGTTCCTCGTGACAGTGTTGGTCTAAGTAATTCTAATCCTTTCTTTCTTGTTGGAAGCCTTCTGATTCACAAACTATGCTCAGTACATACTATTTTTAATTCAATTGATGATTTCGTACCTAGTTCAAGTGAACTTGAATAAAGTGTACTCATGTAAGGTGTGCATTAGTAAAGTGTACCTTTACTAATGTACACCTTGTACATTAGTAAAGTGTATTCAAGTAAGGTATATATTAGTAAAGTGTACTTTAATTAAGTGTACATGAGAATGAACCGTGTCTCATGTCCTAGGGCCCGCGGCTACCAGTCCACCATCCGCATACAGCTGACACCGGACACCGTCCCTTCCTCCCTGCGACGTGTTCACCTGCGCATCATGTTGGAGGGACTCCTACACACTAAGGTCTTCGAGGCTGACCCAAGCATCAAGTACACCTACTCCTGGAACAGACAGAACGTCTACAAGTGAGTTGGTACTCCTGCAGAGAGCAAAACTTAGTCTGGGCCTTCGGTAGTGTTGGACAACTACGATTTATTTCTCTTGACAGAGGCCCAACTTCTCCAGTGTAGGAAATGGGCATTGGATATATGAACATATGTCCATCCATTAGATATATTCATATGTTCATTTTCATATTGGAAATGGACATATGAACCATTTGAGATGAAACAATAATCTAGTATTGCTGAAATATATTCAACGGCAGTCCTCGTGTAATCGTATTAAAGTAATTTATGTCACTTATTCGCAACCTACAAATCTTTTATATATTCCGTTTCAATGGTGTCATTTACTAACAACAGTTTTATTGCTCATGTATTTATTATGGCTCCCTAGAAGTGACGTATGGCCTTGATGAAAAAGTTGAAACTAGGATTGATATTGCATGACTTAAAGAATGCGTACGTGTATCAGGCAAGGCGTGTATGGCAAGACGACAGCTCGCGTGTCGGTTGGTTACGAACACGCGGACTGCGGACAGATCTTGTGGGAGCATCAAACCGTCAACGCAGCAGCCAAGTACCTCACCATTTCTGCTGTGGGAGACTTCAACATCCATGTTCATCACAGCTATAACTTCAACCAAGGTAATCACGAATGCAGGTTATTAGGAAGTCTCGATAATTAGCTTCAGTTGGGGCGAATCTTCGCATCAATGATACATGGCATCATTAAAACATGATTTTTAGTCGGACTAAGATATTATAGTTGTACGGAGAGTGAATTTTTTTGAGGACTTTTTTTAGAACTATCGTCAAAAGTATGAAAATGTAAACAACCTTCTTTAATGCTCATTATAGTGATGTGCTCCAAGAGCCGTTTTTAACAGCAAAATATCGTGTAAATAATCTTGTGTTAATCGTTTACGATGGTTTGATTGTTGAGTTGCCTTGGTTTCATGTTCAGTGTTGCAAGCGTGTTTTTCATGCTTAATCATTGTTTCCATGACTTTCTTTGTTGAGTGACGAAGAAAAGTTATTCAGAATGCGAAAATAAGAAAAATGTATGTAAGAGGTAACAAACTCATTCTTGCATGTTCATTCATAAGTATAAAAATCACTTGTTTGCTTAAATCGCAAGTTAACCAGAAATTTACATTTCCTATCATGTAGCAATAATAAGAGAATTCATGCACTGGTCGCACGTACGTGTTTGGTACGCAGTAGCAAAATAAGAAAATTTAAGCACTAGTCGCACGCACATGTTTGGTGCGCAGTAGCAAAATAAGAGAATTTAAGCACTGGTCGCACGTACGTGTTTGGTGCGCAGTAGCAAAATAAGAGAATTTAAGCACTAGTCGCACGCACATGTTTGGTGCGCAGTAGCAAAATAAGAGAATTTAAGCACTGGTCGCACGTACGTGTTTGGTGCGCAGGCATCCTGCAGCGCGGTGATGGCTCCAACAAGGAGCTCGCCCAGGGCAGTCGACTCGTGACGACGCTGCTGGGGACGGGCGAGCAGCGCGACGTCGCGTGTGACGCGCAGTGCAATGGACGGGCGAACACGTCCCCTTTGTTGTCCCCATCCTGTCTCGCCGCCGCCCCCAACGGCTCTCTCTACGTCGGGGACTTCAACCTCATCAGGAAGGTTACGACCGATGGAAATGTCACCACAGTCGCCAAGCTCAAGTGAGTCTAACCTCGTGCAGAACTAGTCATAAGATTATCCAAGTAATCACCATTCGAACTTTGAGTTATTCAGAAAGCGAGTTCTATTCAGTTGGTCATACGACTTTAGTGCCAGTACCTTAAACTCTGAATCAGCTGGTTGTTACTTTGGTGAATTTTACTTGAGTTTTTCCTATGCGTTATTTCGCTTTACATGTACTTTTTAGCTGATGATGATATAATTACAAACTCGGGTTTACCAACCGCCTTCTGGGCAACATGCTTGCAATAATACCTCCATATTCTTCAAAATATATCGTTCTTCGTAAGTTTTTCTCATTCGTCTTTGCTTCTCTATTTCTTGTCTTCTCTTCTCTCTTATGTATTCTACCCTCATTTCACCCAATCTTCCCACTCACTCCTCTCCAAATCACTCACCACATCCACACTCAGCCCTACACTCACCGAACGCCCTCTCCTTCCTCTCACCCTCAGCGAGACGCGGGTGTCCTACCGCTACCACATGGCCGTGTCGCCCCTGGACGGGTCTGTGTTCGTGAGCGACCCTGAGGCGCATCAGGTGCTCAAGCTGCGCTCGACGGAGAGCGTGCGCGACCCTGCGCACAACACCGTCGTGTACGCGGGCTCCGGCCAGCGCTGCCTGCCCGGCGACCGCGCCAAGTGCGGCGACGGCGGCAGCGCGCTCCATGCCAGGCTCTCCTACCCCAAAGGTGGAGTATGGGGTCTTGTGGTGGAGTGGATACTACTTTTTATCCCGCATTTTGGCTAAATATTTACATATTTAGTGTGTATGTAACTCAGTACATGAGTAAAAAGTGCTGGTCTAGCCGAGTGGTTCGAGTTCAGCTAATCAAGATTAGGTCTGTGAGTGGGACGTCTTGTGGCAGAGTGGATGTAGTGCGTTGTCGTGTGGTCGAAGGTTGGGCGTTGGGCTTTTTAGTGTTAGAGGGGGTATCGTATTGTGGCTTTCAGCGTCTTTTTATAGAGGTGTGGAGTGGAGCGCCGTGTAGTAGATCAGGGGAGTGTGTCATCCCAGTAAGGTGGCCCACTGTGGCCGCTCCTACCCTAACAGTGAAGTAGGGCGGCCAGAATAGTGTGTGGTTAGGTGAGTAGAGTGGTTGCGGCTCGAGATGCCAGGGTCAAAAAAATTATTGACTAAATGATGCTCCTCAAAACCATTTTATTTTGTTAGTAATGTTACACTATGGTTGCATGAATTATATTTCATAAATGGCAGGTGACACATTAATTAGGTATAGTATTGGCACATCTGAATCAGTTATTACACTGATTATAGTTTGTTATTATAATTTATTTTTATTATTATTTTGAGGTAAACTAACTTCGCTTATGCGACCAGGGCTGGCGATGTCTGCTGACGGCGACCTGTACATCGCTGACGGTACCAACATCCGCGTCGTGACGGCAGCTGGCATCATCCACACCGTCCTGGGCGGCCATGAGCACAGGTGGCGTTTCATAATCCCGCACTATCGTGGTCGTTAATCCTAATCCGTATTTTTTGTGGTCACTGCTTTTCATTCCACATTTTAGCTAAATGTAAGGTTCATAAATGATTATGAACATATCGCAGTGGAGGAAATTATCTTTCAACAAGGAAGACCTCTATAAGGAAATATCCAGTGACGAATTGTATTAACATTGTCACCTTACATTAATCTTCACGTATCAAATGTGTTGGTAACTCAGTACATAAGTTCACATCGGTTAAAGAAACTGGGCTAGCCAAATGGGTCGAGCTCAGCCAACCAAGATTGGATCTGTGAGTTGTGGGTTTAATCCTAGCTAAAGGTAACAGTTCTGGTCAAAATATGTTTGGTGGTCGTGTAGTTGAGAACATCAAGATTGGTTCAGTGCGTTTGGGGGTTTAATAATGAGCCAGGAAGCTGTGGGAGTTCTGCGATGCCTGTAATCAGCGAGAGGCTAAATTTAGCCTAGTCAACTCTGATAAGACTATTACTATTAGCAAAAGCAAGGAATTCATCCAAAGCGAAATGCGTTTCATTTTTCTTTGTTGTTAATATTTCCATTCTCATAGATGTTTGTAATGTATTAGCAAAATATTTTATATTTTTTAGCCTGCAACTTAATGTCAACTCTTTTTTACGGTCAAATTGTTTTCAACTCTATCCGGTGATTCCGGTCTTCATTCACCAAATATTTCAGCTTGATGGTTAAAACTTTCATTCACTATAAGAAACTAGTTCAACTCTCATGTACTGTGAATTATATGTGAAGTCGAAACGTGATTTAAACAATTTTATAGAGGCGTGAAGTTCTACATCTGCAAACTGAGGTGAGGATTGTGCGTTCACACACGCTATATTTGCCTGACCATCTTGTGCCACCAGAACCTAGCCATTTCCTTGACATTCTCAGGGCTGGAATTTTGGGCCACATTTTTAGCATCTCTTAAGATTCTGCCAAAAGAATTACCAATTTTACTGCTAAATTAATTGTTATCAATATAAGATCATGATACCGTGCTTGTTATAGTGATTTTTTACCTTGAGATCCCAATGCCCTACGCCAGGTCTCACTGGTCGCCCGTGCCCTGTAACGGGACCATCGCGCGTGACGCGCTGCGCCTGCGCTGGCCCACGGAGCTCGCCATCTCGCCGCTGGACGGCTCCCTGTACGTGCTGGACGACCACCTCGTGCTGCGCCTCACGCCAGACAGCCGCGTCCAGGTGCCTCAGTGTGGCCTCAGGGTTCTCTTACTTGCATATAAGGCCTGATGCTGGCCTGTAGAGCGGCATTCTATTCTTTTGAATTCTAAATTAGCTATTCTGATATTATTAGTATTATTATATTGTCTAGGGCCTCACCTAATAGGTGACTCGATGTGTTCTTATAGGTCTTCGTATCGTCTGGGTTCCATCATAGCCTTAACATTTTCATACCCTGCCAGACTTTAAACTTTTTTGTCTATGGATGCACTAACCGCCGTCAATGTTATTCGGGTCTAAAGATGTTGTCAGAGTTACCCTCAGTTGACGAAGTGTTAAGCCTGGTAACCAAAAGCTACCTATTCTGCCCTATAGTCGCAAAACCTTCTCCTGACGTAGGCTAGCATGGAAGGTTTGGTGGGTTAATGTTGGTTAATGGCCCAGTGGTTAAAGTTGGACCAAGATTGGAGTAGAAAGTACCAAGATTGGAGCAGAGAGGAGCGGGTTCGATCCCAGCTCTGTGCGCCAGTTTCTGGTCAGAATTGGCAAGAAGGCCGGGCGGTTAAGCAAAGAAATTTTGAAGCAGTGAGTTGTGAGTTCAAGCCCACAACATGCTGTGGATGTGATGAAATGTTAAGAATCGGCGACAGGCCTACGTCTTAGTAAACGCTGGAACCGCTATATAATGAAACGTTTGTTTCGTTCACAGATTGTGACTGGCCGCCCACTTCACTGCCCCAGCCCACCTTCCGACGCCCCACACATGTCGAGGTCGGCCCTCCTGCTGGCACCTCAGTCCATTGCCTTCTCGCTCAAAGGTAAGATGTATTCTTGGCTCAATTCATTTCGATTTTACAACTATTGCTACTACATCAAAAAATAATTGTATTGAAATAAATGCGTTCTTATTAAATGCTTGCCACGTTATCAATGCGGTAACTTATATGCTCTTACTTGCGTTAAAACTGCAGAAAAAAGTAGATTTTTCCTCTATGGCTTATGATTTAGCTGTAAAATTATATGCTGGCGTTAACGCTCCGGGGTTTCAGGCGACCTTTACGTGGCTGAGAGCGACACGCAGCGCATCAACCGCATCCGTGTGATCTCAACGGACGGTCACATCTCGACGTTCGCTGGAGCAGAGACCCGATGCAACTGCCGCGACCCGTCCTGCTTCTGCCACGCGCACGAGAACGTCCTGGCCACGAGTGCTGTGTTCCCTTCGATATCTGCCATTGCCGTCACACCCGACGATGTTGTGCACATCAGTGACCAGGCTGGGTACAGAGTTCGGTCTATCAAAAGTCTACTCCCAGAACCTAATCACAACAACGAGTATGAAATATTCTCGCCTGACACCCACGAAGTGTACATTTTCAACCGATTTGGCCAGCACGTAAGCACACGAAATGTGGTCACGAACCAAATAATGTACAACTTTACGTACACCGTGAAATCTCCTTCTGGTAAACTGTCGACAGTGATCGATGCTGCACAAAATCGCATTCAGTTAATGCGCGACGGCAACGGAGAGGTAACGTCCATCGAAAACCCACTGAAGCAGCGCATTCAAGTGAAGCTGAACATGAGGAATCAACTCGAAGAGCTTGTGGGACCCGACGGTTACAATATCACTTTCCGGTATCATGTCATTTCGGGTCTGCTTCTCTCCAAAGTTGAAAGGGGAGGGTCGACTTTCAGTTATGATTACGACAACGAAGGCAGATTGTCGCGTACAGTGCTGCCCACAGGTCAAGTCATCAGTTTGAACTATGAACTGAGCGTTCGTGGAGCTCAAGTCACTGTCGCGAGGGATGAGAAGGAACTCGAGACCACCACGGTCAGAGGCACCAGCATCACCCATACCGCGGGTTAGTCCCAAAGTTGGTTGGGATTATGAGTAACACAGATTTTTTAATTATCTAACAGGCACGACTTGTTTGATGTGCACAAAATTGCTCTGAAAAGTATTCTCTGGGAATGACCACTGTAAACTTAGGGTGTTTGATAGCTCTAGAGGGAAGCAATGGAAAATTCTAATGACGTCTAAGTGTGCTACGAAAACCTATAGCGAAACCGCGTCTTTATAGGAACAGTTTTAACAATCATAGCAGAACCTAAGCTGGAAAATTATATAACGATAAGTTATCAACGCATTAATGCTGTTAAATTTCTGATGATAATTTTTCATATGAAAATACCGGAGTATTTTATTGTGTGTTATATGTGTGGCTGTTCCGACACCAAGTCTCAGTAAATTTCTTCTGGGGATCTGTGATTTACCTGATGATAGATATGCATATTCATGATCATATTCTTTAGAATCTGAAAGGTATTCTGCAAATCTGAAATGTCTCATTATCGTGAGCCTGGTGCTGGCACTGCATACACTTCTTATGTTATATGCAGTGTCATGGTTTCCGATCTGCGCTTCGCTTGGTCTTAAACGCTGAAGTCCTGACTGTTCATTAGATATGGCTCTCCTCCCAGATCCTCGTTCGCAAATCTTCTTCTTAAACACCGCGTGAAGTTAATAATAGTTAACCGAACCCCATTCTTAGGTTTCACTCGTACCTTTTATTTCGCTTACGCACCCCGAAAGGTTTAAATTGGTTATAACTCTGCCTGCAGGTTTTGTGAACACGATGTCGCAAGGCAAGGGCGGGCTGGTGCGCAAGAGCGCCTGGCACCACGAGGTCAGCCTGCACGAGCGAGCCTTCAAGGTCCTCGAGACTCTGAGCCCTACGGCCTCTCAGATGTTCCCGGTGCCTGCCCTCCAGCTCACCAAGATAGACACCGACACCATCAACTCCTACGAGTGGATCTACTCTTCCTCCCTGCCCGTTAGTTAAACTAGAACTGTTGCCGTTAATGTTTTTGGTCTTTATACTTCATCGATCTTGTCATTAACTATGTCTTTAAAATTAAAAATGCGTATTTTAGACACCGACATCAACTCCTACGAGTGGATCTACTCTTCCTCCCTGCCCGTTAGTTCAACTAGAACTGTTACACTTATTGTTTTTGGTCTTTCTACTTCGTCTATCTTGTCAATAACTATGTCCTGAAAGGTAAAAATGCGTATCATCATATACATATATTTGAGGCTTTTAACATATTAAACCTCGTCTACCTACTGCATTTTCTCGTGAACTAATTTAATATTTGATTATTATTACTTGGTGATATTCATACGTGATATTATCTTCAGGCTACGGCTGAACTGCACGTCAACAACGCCTCTCTCGTCGTCCTTCGTTACGACGCGGCGTCTCGGACTGAAGCTTTGCTGTCGCCTTCAGGAGCTCCCCTCCTGAACACCACCTACGACAGAGTGGGCCACGCTGTCCTCTACAGCCCCCACCGCCCCCTGGTGCCCGCTAGTATGCAGTACAACCAGTGGGGTAACGTCGTGAGGAGGACGCGAGGGGACCTTGTAGAGCTGTACCAGTATGACAACCTGTTGCGGCTCACGGCCATCACCTACGGTGACAACACCACGCAACAGTTCGTGTTCTCCGACCGACAAACAAAGGTGATGACTAGCGTAGTATTGTCATTGGGAAATATATTCTGAATATGCAATCTAATATTTATGAATGCTTTTACTGTACCGTTGTACAAGAACAAGCGCAATGTTTGATAAAACGAAAATGGTACAGGCGCTGTTCAAATCATGCATAGGCCTTATGTAAACATAAATTTTATGCCTTAACTTTAGAATCTTGAACTACTGCGAAATTTTCAAACTGCAACACTTGAACAAACTTTGTCTTTCTTATTCTAGCGATTTTAATATGTTGATTGGACTTTTTAATTCGTTTGAACGCTTTGTACCTAGAGCAATTATTTCAAGTTCTTTTGAATGCTCTGTATAAAAACTTTCAGCAGCATTTTCTTGATTTTTCACCACTCATCTTGGCGTTGTTATTTCATTATTTCATTGCTTCAATCGGTGGAGCCTCATCTTCAGGCTAATATTCGAACTCGAATTTAATATTTTCACAATGACATTTTGGCAATTATACGCCAAATTTTTTTTTTTTTCAGCCGGAACGAGTGATCCTGCCCAGCGGGCGGCAGTACGAGATTCTGTACGATGACGCGGACGCCCTACGGAGCATCATCACACCCACGGGCACTGCGTACTCCTACCACCTCATCATGTCCATTGGCTGCTACAAGCTCAAAGTGGCGCTGCCCGCCGACAAAGTCGCTCTCATGGTGAGCCTAGCGACACAAGTGTAATTAGTTTCTGGTGTAATAACGTGGTCGATTTACTAGGTATAAGATTTAATAAGTGACATTTGTAATATGGAAGGAATCGGGTGATCTGGAACGTCCATGTCGTTAGTATAATTCTTCTCGTGTAATAACCAATGCAATCCACCAAAGAATTTATCTCAGAAATGACCTGACATTCTCCGAGTGGGAATGTACATTGTGGTGTTGTAAGTTCGTGGGCTAATTAATTATCATTTCATCTCAATTGCGTTGAGTCTATCGTGAAAGCTTCTGTAGGCACTTCTGTAGGCAACCATTTTGTATTTTCTGTGATTGTGTTCAGTGTTTTAAACTCATTTTCCTTTCACAAGTTTTTGCAATTTTCGTGGGAGAACTGATTCTTTTACATCCACTGTTCTTCTACTGATTATATTATACACGACCGCTTCAGCAGCCTCGCAGTTCGACACTAAGAGCTAGATCTAATACCCAACTTATTAATCGTGTATAAACTGTCGCAACTGCTGGTCTAGAAGGAGGTAAAAATATTTCGCATAAATCAAGTTATGGATCAACATCCTAAATACATACACAATTATAAAATTTACTCATGTACACAGAAGCATGCGCTATCGATGTCGTTTAATAATTCTACTATTAATTACCTGAAGTAGGTACTGTGGAAAGTACTGTACTGTTAATTCTACCGTCATTCGTTCCAGTTACGAGTGAGCGAGCAAGGGCGCCTGTTATCCGTGACACAACCTCTTGGCGGCACGCGCCTCTTCGAATACGATACCCTGGGGCGTCTCAGGGGCGAGTATTTCGGCCAAGGGTTCACGGAGTACGATTATTGGGAAGGGGGACTACTACATGGGGTCAAGTCTAGGTATGACCACAATGAAGTAAGATACGAGTTCCAGTATCACGGAGGCTTGACGAAAGAAATGAAGCTACGGTTCAGGTCCATGAAGGGAGATCTTCACAAGGTTAAACTTCATTACTTGTATGACACCAGCGGACGCCTCATGCGTATTGAACTGAAAGTTGATTCGTCCAAGTTTGATGCATTTTATATCCGCTTCAACAATCAGACTGGCGCTCTGCAAGCCATCAGTGATCTGAGAATTGTTCGTCAAGACCTCACCAACGTTATAATTCTAGACCAGAACCGTCATTTCATCTGTAGACGAGAGAGGGACGACTATTGGCGCTTAGCGGAAAAAATGATCACACTTCAAGGCAGGAACGTGTTTCGCATGGCGTTGAAGTACGACAATAGAGGCCGCATCAGTAAAATGGAGCTTGAGATTTCAGGACGTCAAGAGTTCACTAATTACACGTACATGATGGACGGGCAGCTTTTGGAAGCCACGGGTACACACAAGTGGCTCTACAGCTACGACCAAAACGGGAACATTCTTTCTTCGACCGACAACACTCGAGCTGAATTCCTTCATTACGACGAAGCAGACCGAGTTATCAAAGTTGGTGATGGTAACATTGAATATGATGCCCGTGGCTTTGTTATCAGGTACGATCAGCAGAACTTCGAGTACGACACCAAAGGATTGCTCGTTCACGGATGGGAGTCTGATCGCCGTTGGTGGTTCAGGTTGAGCTACGATCATCTTAATCGAGTGTATGCTTATCGCGATCACTTTAACAACGTGACTCAGTTCATCTATGGTCGGCTGGACCAGCCACACCTTATCACACACGTGCATAACCCAAAAACACACAGCACCACGACGCTAATTTACGACGACCTCAATCACTTGATAGCCATGGACACCCCTACTGGGCGCATCTATGTTGCCACTGACCACGCGGGCTCTCCGATTGCATACTTCGAGGAGAATGGATCCCTCATCCACCGACTGAGATGGTCTTCATTTGGTAGACTCATCGAGTCGGTGGGTGAGAAGATCTGGGTGGGTGTCGGTCCTTGGGGAAGTTTCGTTGAACCTCTCACTGGAGTTGTCTTGGTGAATGGATTCGGCTACCATCCTCGGCTGCTTCAGTTCCTCACTCCTCAGTGGGAGAAGATGACTAAAGCTCCTCGTCCCGTCACTGACGTGTACGTCTACCGCTTCAGGAATAATGATCCGGTCAACGCGCAAAGCCACTTCTCTGAGGAGATTCACGGTAAGATTTGAAATTAACTAAGTTACTTCCTTGATGATTCTACTCCTAATTCATCGTTGTTTATATTGATTGCAATTAATAATGCTCGACATATTTCCATTTTATCCGCATTCCATCCTTATTATTAGCTTTATTTACTCGTGTAACTTTTTGTATGTCCCGCAGACGTTAAATGGTGGCTACGCATGACCGGCGTTGATTTGCAAAACTCGCTGGGCTCCGACTACAAAGATCGCATCCTGGAGAAACCTGAGCCTTCATTAGACGTTTCAATGAAACCCTCAATTGGAATCAGCAGTAGCCTCACGTGCCAGTATCGAGCAGGAATAAACTATCTGAAACACTTGAGCTTCTTCTCCCCGAAGAACGAACCCACGGCACTTGAATGGCAGTATGCACCAATTTCTCAACAATCGTATGTGTTTGGCCCCGGTGTCTTAGTGAGCGTTGTCAACAAACGAGTACTGATTAACTTCGTCACTGTTGTAGAAGACGGATCGTCTGTGATTGGAGATGTCATCCGCATTGTATTGAACAATTCACTTCTTCTAGATGTTGTCGCGACAGAAAATGATCACGAGACCTTCTACTTCGTCTGGGAGGAGAAGAGACGAGAAGCGGAACACGAGAAGCACCTGGCCCGTCTTTCTGGCATATTCAACGTCACGAAGGTGAACGGCGCCATAGGACCGGGAGTACATCTTGCGACGCCCACTGCTAACCTCATGATCCTGTACGGCATCCGCCCCAGCAGGGCCCGCAGCTACATCCTGGAACAGCTGGAAAAGAGGGCGGCAAGTACCGCATGGGACAGAGAGGCGGCTCTTGTGAGGGCTGGGCGCCCTGGAACAAGGGAGTGGCAGCCAGATGAAAAGACGCAACTTATTAAAAATGGCTACGTTCGAGGCTTCCTTCCGAGCTCCCTGCACTCTACGGATGACTATCCCTTCTTGGCAGCAGACCCCACAAATGTAATGTTTCGGCGAGACAGCTCCAGAAAACGAAGGAAGACTCGCAGAAAGAACAGAAAGAAAGGTTGGCGAAGGCGTGATTGGAGTCGAGACACTCGAGCCACTTGAAAAATCAGTCACAAATAGATTGTAGTGTCTTGATGGCGTGTTTAAAAAAGATATTAGAAGTCAAACTATTAATTAGACGGCTATTAGCTGTGTAGTGGTATCCAAGTTAAATCTTGTGACAACTTCAGTAGCTTGAACAATGAAGGAGACCAATGTGTCCTCCACGGTGCTAATTCGATACCAAAAGGGTTGAGTTTCAGACAAGACTATTGTGCTGGTGCAATACTAAAACAATAAATGAGCCGAGCTCTCTACTTTATCGTGGCTCGCAAACGAGTAATGTATAGAAATTAATCGATTCCATGAAGTTGATCGAACTTATCGATCGGTCACTCATGCGTCAATGTACGTATGGACTATTTTTGCGTCTAATTTTTCTATTATATTACATAATGATTTGAAGATTAACGCTTAGATATCGTTAGCTAATGGTGATTTGTATTAAAATTCAATTGTCAGGAAAATTCATGCTTTTGGATGCAGCGGATCATACGTTACGTTTTATTTGCACGATTTGCTCCAAGCATGACAGCTCTTCGCGTTCGCCTTTTATAACTCCAGATTGTGATACCCGTGTAAATAAATAGCTGGGCTACTTGGATGAGGATCAACATGGTAACAAGTCTGGGTCTGAGCCGCGACCACGGCTTGACTCCACGGTAATGTTGAAGCCTCGGGTCAGTTTTGTCGTCGTCGCTGAGACAAAGTTTCCTCCTCTAGTCAGATTTTGAGATCATCCCTCGCTTTGATACGATAAGACAATGATTGTCATCCCTAGCTTAGGTCGTTCATATGTAGAATATTTCAGGAATTTTCTACTATCATTTATTCCGTGTGTGAATTTTAAAGTAAGTCAGTCCTGCCGTCAATCCTCTCGTTTTTTAGTTTACTGTTAAACTTTAAGACCATCGATGGTTCCCTTTCTACGAGGACTCGTAATGAGTCTATGCTAGAGAGGTTTCTCGGTTTCCTTCCCTCGGCATTTGCCTCACTAAATAAATATCAAGTCTCTTTCGATGTCTAGCACTAGTCTAGAATTCTTTGCCTCTGACCCTCATCTAACCGCCATGTTTTGAACTCATTCTCAAGAGTTTTTCGTTCACAACCATCTGAATATCGTCGCTACATGTATACAATAAATTCATCTGAATCATTAGAAGGATACAAATTATTCTTGCATTAGCATAACCAATCAATTTTGCGTAATTTTTAATCGCTCTTTGAACAGCATTTGCCAACACCTTGTAAAGAACCCCTATCGCGTTTCAGCTGCCTCATGATATCACCGTGTGAATGTTAGTTATTGAATTGTCATCATCACAACACATTCTGCCATGACAAAATTGTGCAGAAATTTCTCAATAGAAGCACAGACTTTTATTTACCTTAGGATTACATTTCGCCTTTTCGGTTATACGGAAATGGTTATTCGTAAAATTATTTGCACAGAATGGAGATTTTTTTCCAAATGTAAAATCTTTCACAGGAAGATTTTTAAATGAATCATTTATCGTATTTGTTTCTTTAATGCATTTTCATTGGTTAATTCTCTTGATGTTCTTGTGCTTATCAGCTAATGCATTGGCTATCATTTTTCGCAATAATTACTCTCGCCATCACATCGACGTGGAATTATCTTCGATTCAGAATGCATGTTACAACCCAGCTTCTTATTAATGCCCCATAAATTGCATTGTACATTACGTCGCATAACCCGATTCACGCCATTCCATTTCCTTACTTTAAGTCACTGTCGGCTGCAGTTAATCTTCTCGTTCGGCTATCATGAATGGTGTATTACTTGATGTCAGTTGGCACTCTTTTCTTTGTGCCAACTTTAAATAGAACGTAAGGGCTTTATTATTTTTCATAGCTCATGTTTCTGTGTTGTATACACCGTCGTATTTTTTATTAAGGAGTCCTAACAATTGAATCTCGCCTCCTTAATCTGTGTGCGACAGGCTGCAGATCCTTTGTGAGGCAATTCATTGTAGCTTAAAGTTCCTGCGTCATCGTGCTCCACACTAGAGATGTGTACTAGTGAAGCAATGTGCTCCTCTGCGCATACAGTAAATATTTTCATTTGAAAAGCTCTGAAAGGTGTATTTGGCATCATTTTTATATACTACTGCCGTACATGGTTCTTACTTCCAGGACCCGAAGGAATGACGTTCACGTTTAAAAAAGAGGCTACCGCAGCCGCGATTATAACACCTGATAAACTATCTTTTATCGTCCGTCGTATATTCAGAAGATGAATTTTAATGCGCCATGAAATCTCAAAGTTAGTGGTTGCAATAGGTTCAGAAACTCGCATCATTTTATCTGAAGCCTTCCATACCCTTATTCCATGATGATTTAAATTGCAATCGACTTTCATTGTGCAGTCATTCTCTCGCTCACACTAGTTTGTGATATTCATTTCTTGTTCATTCAGAGACCTGCAGAATAGTCGTTTTTATGACGTCCGTTTCATTATTGATGATTCTATGAGAATAACGCGTTGCTAGATGCAGTTCAATAGGAATGCACTTCTAGGCACAATAAAAATATTCTCACTAGACTTCCGAGCTTGAAGCTCTCCTATTGCCTAGACAAGCTTAGAGTCAACTATTAGATGCCTAAACCGCGATAGTATTATTGGGGTATGGCCGAACATTTTTTTAGGTAGTTATAATATATGAATTTTTCGTGATAATTTTTTCTTCTCAAATGAACAGCTTGCGTTTTTTAATCGTGAGGGCAATTCTCCCGACCCTCATTCTACATTTCAAAAAACATGCCTGTAACTTCATTCTACGTTTTGACAAAAGTTGTTCTCTAAGGCTAGAATTATTCATATGATATAAACTGTGAAGATTATGCGTCCTGTTTTTTTTTCTTAACAAAATATATATGAGCTGTATTTGGTTTATATTTGAGTGGAAGGATATTGTACCTGTACCATGGAATGATGGAAAACTGGTGGTCCGTAAGAATGGAGCTGTGCATTGTTGAAGCTATTATTAGTTTGTTCAGTGCAGGTCACCTCTATCTAGTCCCAAAGCTAGCCGGTCGCTAGTTGTATTCGTAAATTCAGTATCTAGGGAACTCAACTTCGATTTAGGCAGCTCTGCGCTTCAACCTTCAACGCTCAATGTAGGACTTAATATATTCAACAAATACCAGTTGATTTCGTCATTTTATGTGTTTCTTGCAGGGCGACATAGCTATTTAACGTGTTATGAGACTTAGGAAAAAGCCTAAATCGAACTGAATAACATATAGACGAATGAAAATGCGTAATTTTTTGTTTGAGATTCATAGTCTAGATATTCAGTGTAAGTGAACTCGACCTAAGACTGAAACCTTGTAAATTCACATTTGAACAAAGACTTTTTCGGTGATGTGTTTATCTGATATTTTGTGTTGAATCTTCTGCAAATGAAGTGCGTTCTGAAGCTTGGTCAATTCCATTCGTTGTCTGAAGCTTAGCGCGTCTGGCGCTAGTTACCCATGCGTGCGCTGAGCAAAATTGTGCATTTACTTCAACTTTTGTATTCGGCTGCATGGAATATGGTAAAGTCATTAATTTTTGTTAGTTTTCGCTACAGTTCCCTCAATATCAGCTATAGTTGACAATTTAAGGTAATTTCATCTTCCTTTTGTTTCGGTATTTTATTATATCGTTTCCAACTAAGTATTTGCTAGTGCCTGAGCAAGATTTGTAATCCCAAGAAAACTGTTCTAGGATTAATTCCATGCACGGCAATTCTTCATATATCAGGGATCAGGATCTGTTATGTCGTAAGCTCACATTTTCTTATTTTTCCAACTTCGCTTAATATTTTATCCGTGTTATAAAATGCTCTGGTAGTGGAGTTGTAATCTCTTGAAGAATATATTAGAAATGAATAAATTTACATTTAAACTGGGCCAATGCAAAGGGTCATCGTCATATTGTTTCGTGGAAGAGTGTGGACGTTCTCATTAACAACGCTATTATTTTCCGCTCACATGAAAAAGAGCACTGCTACAAAATAAGTGGCTGTTGGTATCGAGCTTCCTCTATTGCTGCGATTCACTCGATGGCATCACTGAGGTATTCAAAAATCATGGGTATACTTAGCTAACATTTTACCTAGAAGCAGGCCGAGGAACTCTCTGTCAACTGTTAGAAAAAACTGAAAAAAAACGGTCCCACTGGCGTTCTAGTGGCCGGGCGCTACGTGAAAATAAACTGTTTCGCCGGTTTTATCAGATGTTTTACGGATTTCTAGTGTTAAATTAGAATAAAAACGGTGACACTGTGTTTCTTTTCACGTGCCGACCGGCCACTGAAACGCCGGTAATACCGTTAACAGTAATTTTTCTAACAGTCTGCCCATCATCTCGATAAGTAAGAGGAAATACAGTTAGTGACGCAAATCCAGGAGTTTGCCATACAAACTAGTGCGAGATCTTGGTGGACAAGAAGATCTTCAGATGTGTTATTGAGTCGGCTAGCATGACGTAGATGTGAAACTAGGATACTATACAATTTAAGGTAGTCACGTGATAGCGAGGCTTGAGGATTGTTGACTCGTTCTATACTTTTATACCCCCCACACGATCGGGCTTTTCATCAGTCTGGTGCTTAGAGAAGCGAATGAGTGACGTGCTTTATTGTTCGTAACTTAAGAGACGTCAAAATTTAATAGGATAAACGGTTAAATCGGTGGAAAATTTAATTTACGTGCAGGCTTGTTAATAGAATTGTTTGGAAAACTCGAAACTATGCCCACGATGAGTGAATGAATTGGTTGTTATAATTATCATTGCTGTTAACTTTGTTTTATTGAATTGGGTGTATAATTTCTTATTTATTTTTTAATTCGTTTTAATTCGATCCATTTTCTTCGAATATTCTATTTATCATGTTATCTATGGTAACAAATCCAGTAGCACATACATGTATCATTTACTTAAAAGTGATAAAATATTCAATACTCATTTTGTGTAACTTTACCTATTTTGTGTAACTCTTCATCTGTGAATTGGAAACTCCGATTTGTCCGGAAACGTTGGAAGAAGGGATGACAGCTCATTGCTAATGAAAAAGGTTTACCCTGTAGTTAAACCCCTCTGAAGGATCTTCTGACGCGTGCCTTTTCTCGTCAGAAGTCCTATGGGATAACAACACGACGAGGTCGCTGAATTGAACTGCTCGTTTCAGTTGCGTTGTGTAGTTGTGCAGGCAGGATACCCTGCACTTCTCTGTCTCTCTCGTGAGAGCGGCCGACGTCTCGTGTATAAGCGACCTCTTGTTTGTTTCTGTTAATGTCGCTCTCTTTTAATGTTCATTTTATGACGGTTTGTGAGATACAGAGGAATAGCTGATGCTCTAGTAAAGGATTTTACTATAACTCTCTAGTGGGTCAGTATTAAAAAATTCGTAGACTTTTTCTGGAGTATTAGATATTTCATAAAACGTTAATTATTAAGTAAAATTTCTAGGTACCACCGGAAGAATTTTAACTAGAAAAGAACTGAAGTAAAGCTACTTACAGTTACCTCGGTAACTTCTCTCAAAGTATGAGGAGTTATTCATCTGAAAAAACGACTAGGGCAGTTGAAGTTTCCTTAACTTATTTCTTTTTTATATTGACCAACGCTTTCTGATATGACACTCGATATTGTTTATAATTCTTAAAAAATTTCTGAATCTGGCTTTTAAGTTTTCAAATATGTCAAGTTTGTTTTACCAGCGAAAGACGTTCAATACTTTGCGTCTAATACGTAAAGCCGTTGCAGCTTTACGAATCGGAAGAATTGTTAAGTATTCATTTGGTGTATTTGTTACACTGGAATGCGAGTGACATAATCACTTGCGATGAAAATATTTATTCTTCATATTTTCAATGTCGGTATTTGAAGCAGCTCATACATAATCATGATTATCATTTGTACGTTTACTATCTCGCAGATGATAATAAATGGATGATTGAATGTTGCCAGCCACATGTTTACTCATGTGGCTGGCACATGAAGGCTTATTTGTGTTCATGTTCTAATGCTAATTGAAATGTTATATTATAAGGGCACTTGCTTGGCTTCAAATATGTAATACTTAGAACGATGTCTTTGTGTCTTGTGTCAATGCTCGGATATTTTGTAAGAGGTGTGCGACGAGAAAAAAAAGGATCGATCGTCCTTTATGGCAGTTCCCATTCCTCTGAACAACTTCTTTGGTAGCTCCTTCAAACAAAGCGTGTCCAATCCAGCCTCTGAAATGACAGGATAGTATAAAATCAGGACGACAGCAATAACGAAATATTGTAATGACGATAGTGTGATAACGCTGTTGAAATTAACGAAGGAAATTAGGCGTGTATGATCTCTTGAAAAAATAGACGTAGTTTAGTTTTTTATTCCACAGGAAAAAGATATTACTTTTTGATGTCGACTTAAGCCTTCTTCCTTGTTGCATTCCGTATTCACGAATATCGATTTAA